TCCATTGAATACAAACAAGACTTACAAGAGTTGTAAATGTTATGTGACATGACTGTACTGTGTTCTGTTTCAGTAACAGAAGATAGATGATAGAAATATCAAAGTCTGTTATAATTGTAACAAATATACAAATAGTAACAAAAGGGACTAATATTATAATATAGTAATATTACATGCATATTTTTCATGTCAAATTAAAAAAAATGGTTTCTTTCAATACTGAAGTAGAACACACTCTGGAATGAAAAATGGGATGAATTTCCAAAAGACCAAATTCAGGATTTTGTTTGATTGTTATACACGCGTTACATGGTGAAACAGTATTTATCAATATAATAGAAGACTGTTACCTAAATTTTAGGTAGGTATGAGGAAATTCACTAATATCATATTCGTGCGAGATAAAGATATGAAAGCTATTTGACATTGGTAATATATATAAAAAAACTATTGTTAATTAATTTTTAGGGATATCAATATATATATTTTTGTTGAATTGCTTTAAAACCATTCATAAAAAACATTACACTTCATGTTCAAACTGCAGATCAAAGTTTCTGTTGTTGTCATGATATCTATCTATAGCCTATGCTTAAGGTGATTCCGCTTTGTCAGCCATGTTTGTTTTAACTAAAGTCTGTCCAAAGTGAAAGTAGGCCAAAATTCATATAACAACAAAGCTCTTATTGTAAAATGATGAACCATTTGAAAATACACTTCCAGGTTTATATTTTAAGGACAATTATAAACAAAAATAATTATTTACAAAAAATAATGGTGGCCATGTGCTTAGAAGGACATGAGATACTGATTTATTTGGAGTTAAGTTTTGAAAGATTTTTGTATTTACTGCAAAAAAATAGCTTTTGTTGGCACTAAAACAGACTTTTAAAAGGATTTTGCCATTCATGAAATGTGCATTAAACTTTGCAACAGAATGTTTTTGGTCTTCAGAAATGTAGCCCATTCAAGGTAAATTTCTTATTGTTATCATTTTTATTTTTGTTTAAAATAGTCTTTAAAACATAGATATGGAAGTATACTTGCAAATGGCTCATCATATAACAATGTGAGCTTTGTTGTTATTTGACTTTTGGCTCACTTTGCACAGACTTTGTGAAAACAAACTTGGCTGACAAAGCGGATCACCTTAATGAGGGTCGATCCGCTCGTAAGGCTACAAAATGCCACCAGTCGTACCATTAATGAAATATAATATTATATACTTAAGTTTAATTATTTCAAAACAACCAATATATCAACATGTTATTATTAAACATTTAATTTCATAAATATAAATTAAAAATAATTATCAAAAGCAAAATTGTTAAAATCTTTTGCCTGAAATCTTTTTTATATTGACAAATTCAATCACTAATAGTATACTTGATATGCTGTGTGTAAATGTATTTCAAAATGTAACAAATTATAATTTCATGTACTACTAAAAAGGGAAATAACAAATTTATAACCTAAGTGTCAAAAATCAAAACATTTTAGCTATTTATAGCTTTTGAATTTATGTAACAGCAGAACTGCTTTCCGGTTCTCATTCATTAATATGACATGTTGCGAATCACCGACGGGGAAACCAATTTAGAAATCTAAAGGAGTTCTTGAATGCGGATTTACTTTTAGCTGTTAATCGAAAGGATTTATTGCTCAAATCCGGGCCCATGGACAAAAAAATAGTAAACACAAATAGCTCCGCGCGGAGCAATAACAAAACATATCATAAAATTTATGAAGGGGTTACAATTTTCATCATCATAATAATAATAACAATAATAATCTTTTTTATTTATTTATTTTTATAAATTTATTTATTTATCTATTTATTTATTTATTCATTTATTTTCTTGTTTTATAATAACTTAAAATATATATATGTACATGATATTCAAACACAAATACACAAATTATCATCATTATAAGGAGCATATTCAATGGCAATATACCTCGTCATCGCGCACCTGCAAAATGCTCCCGATCAGACAATTCCTTTTTGTCGACTGGAAGTCTAAATATGTTTTTATTTTAAGAAATTGTTTTTTTTTGTTTTATATATATATTTATATATTTCTTAGAATATTTTACCATCGAGTCGACGGGATGTTTATAAAAAAGTCTCATTGGGAGCATTTTGCAGGTGTGCGATGACGTAATATCCTAACATTGATATTTACATACAAAAGGATCGAACAAAAAGTTCTACCAACATAATCTAAGGTCCCCCGTAAACAATAATCAGTCAATATAAGTATTGTTAGTTATTTATTGTCTTGCTTTGATACGAACTTTTGGAAATAAGACTGCATATGTTAGTTGTTGATCAAACGAAACGAAATCGTTTAAATAAACATATTATAAATTTGTAGTCAAATATGAAGAAAAGTTATTCAAGACAAGGTTTTTTCATGAGTGCTACTAAAATATATAAATAACACATAGGATTGCGAGTAACAGTAAAATAGCATCTCGAACCAAGAGGCGATAGTAAACATATGTATTATTTATTTTATTACCCCGAAAAATACTTCTAGGGATACTCTTCCTTTAGGTTTTTATTTTTCAGATTTTTACTGTGAAAAATAGTACAAAGTTTTTAGTATCATGGTTCACTTGATTTAACAGTAAGAATACCACTCATTGGCTTACGGAAAATTAACATTACAAAAAAGTGAGGGATAATAAACCTGAATAATATCCATTTTATGCCATTAATTTAAAAATAAATTATTTAAGGATATAAATTTTACCAATTTCCTCCTTTATGGCATCGAAAAATGCCGCACCAGATGCCAATTGAATGAAAATTAAAGAAATTGCTAATACTCCGAAAGCCTTCATGGTTTAACAACGATAATCAAAGTTGAAATGATATTATACTCGTATGCACACATTTACCTAAGAATTATTTAAGCTTATCTATGCAAGATTAAACACGATTACCTTTTTCTATGTCTGATTTAACAATATAAGGGCCATTACTGATTACATGTAGCACATTTTGAGGGCATTAACTGAACTCATGGTTATTGAGAGGTCATATACATGTCTTTACATGTTAAATACGACATAACTGTTCATGATAATATGCAAATTAACTCTCCTCCATTATGTTCTACATGCCCATCTAGCTGACAATGTTGTGCTTTTTTCTCTCACATCATATGAGTTGATGCAGTTATAATTAAATATACACGTAAATAAAAATATCAAACTAGATTTTATATGCATATTATTTTTCTCTTTAAACTATCAAATTTTTTCTTCAGATTTTAAATATACAAAAAATGAAAGTAAGAAAAGTTACCTAGATTTTATGTGTGAACTGGTTGGAACCAGTAGCGTTTAAAAGCATCTAAGTGCAATGGGATTACGTAAAGCTGCTTGTAAATGCTATATGTAAGTGGATAATTCTTTATCAATAGGTTAATTATATATTAATACAGGGTCGTTTTTTTTCCTTTAAGATGTGAACAGCTTGCATAAAGATAAGTTTGAAAGAGACGAGGCCAAGGAAGTTGTACCGTAGAAATAACGCCATGATATTAATGTCTAAATTTATATTGATTCAAATCTTTATTCGTCGAAAATTGAGGAAATATACGAGTATATAATTATATAAAGATTTTCTTCACCAGATGTATTGAAAAGTTCGTCTTGTAAATTAATGAAGGCACCTTTAATACAAAGGCTACGAGGGTGTGTGACGTCATTGATGACCTCATTTCAATATTATATTAATAAAAAATGTATTTGCCGACATTTATCGTTACTGCAAGCGGTGAGTGCCTAAGACAGGCTCAGATTTATTTACTTGCTTTATTTACGTGAAGAAATTTAAGTTTAGTCATCCATCTCGTTTGATAAAATGATTTTAAAAGTAAATTGCCAATACTATGTATATGTTAGTGTTCATCCGTGCTGTTCTACAAAAATTAGAAACTTCGACGGGAGCGATAGCGACAGGAGATTTTTTCTAATTTCTGTAGAACAGCACGGATGAATACTAACATACTTAGTGTCAAGCTTTATTTGGCCTCATTATTTTTCACTTAATTACGTCACTACGCGGCTCTGTGAAGTACTATGAAAAATAGAAGGCGACTATGAACGGAATTCATGGAATTCGAAATAGTATCGACTTTTGTTCTCCTATTAAAATTAACACGTACAATTTTTAAGAAATAGAGCGTTTTCATTGGATGTCAAATAAAACTGGACACTAAGAAACATTTCTGACCGCAGTTGCCTCTTGTGATAAGCGTTAATAAAGATAGCACTCTAAAGGCTTAAATAAGATGTTTCAATTGGTAAAATTGCTTGTGATAAGGATATATCCGGTAAGTTTGTATACATTTCTAATAATATTCCATGAATAAAGTGAATTGGTCTGTAATGTAAGGTCTCTAAGGCCATAAATAATAACTTTTAATGACTTTTTGCACCATACATGACAACAAACCAAGGACGAATTCGAACTATATATGGATGTTGCTTGTGGGCGTGAGATACATGGTCCGATATATATCTTTATAGATAATAAACTGCTACATCATATAAATGTTTAAACTAAATCACTTCCCAATGAAGACCTTTGAGTCAAAACGTTGTGTTTCTTTATAAAACAATACAATTTCATGTTTAAACTGAGTTGATTTCATTATTCAAAAATGTTTTATAAGAGTATAAAAATACACTTCTATTGTTGTTTTTATCGATATACGCAAGCTAGTAAGTACATTTAATTACAGCGACATTGTGTTATGTACAATATAGGAAAAATGCATATTACAAAGTACAACGCCCGGTCACATAAGGACGAATGAGACTAATTTACATAGATACTAACATTATTGAATCCAATGTATATGAACAAACTAAATCTTTACTTTACGTATAACACATACCAGTTTTAGATATTAATCTGGTAATAATATTTACCGCCACAGAACAAATTACGGGCCTCTCCGTTAATACAAAGACACTATAAAAGTAACAAAGCTGGCAATATTCTCATTCATTCTGAAAAGGTCAGACAGTAAAATCAGCTAGCATCATGAAGATTTTACTTTGTTTGTTTCTTGTGATTGTGTCCGTCTATGTTACCTATGGAGCAACATCATTCGGTGAAATACAGACAGAGAAAGGTTAGCAATTTTTAAAAAAATATTTTATATAATTAATAGAACATTCTATGTCAAATCAAGCCTGCAACATTGCAAACATTTCTTGTCGTTTTAAGCGATTTAAGCATTACCATTTTATCTGTCAAGTGATAGCGTGGGTTCCGTTCATTTAGTCTTTGTCTATTTTATTATTAAATTAAGTTGAACACTTGATAGTAATCGAGAATTACTGGTATTAAGTTATTTGGTAATTTTGACTCGCATACCCATTAGTATCTAACTTATAAGATATAGAAGTTAAGAGGTAATTTATTTCTAAAAAGTATTAATATTTTTATATTTTCAAATATATGCTTATCATTTGGAAAGGATTTTCATAATTAAACAGCGAAACATTTGCCAAATATCCTTTCAATGTAGCTTAACTATATATTGGTGAATATATCTCATGTATAAAACTTTCATTATTTTTACAGTTTATGGTAAAACAGTCAAGTTCTGTGTTTATAAGGGTCTCCGAATGCTACCAAAATCTTCTTTCATAGATTATGATACATGTTCGAGATGTACGTGTAAAAAGACTGGCTTGTCCTGTGCAACGTGAGTGAAATATGTTTTTACATATTGTTACGGAATATTTAGCTACTATACCTTAAAACGAAACGCCCATGTACAATGGAATTAATGTTAAACACGCGAAACAAGAAAGTACAAGCTATATAGATTTGTACATGTATTGTATACTTAAGGACAATGAAAACGCACGCCCGCACTATATGCATTTTATTACATGAAAACAAAACACTAACGACTCCATTAGATATATATCATAACTTTAATACAAAACGCAAACTTAACAACTGAAAATAATTCAAAATGTTTAAAATCAAATGTACACCAGTAAATCGAAGAACCTTAGGTGAAAATCCCAAAATCACACTTTTTCATCACAGTAATGCAAACTTAACAAAGGCAAAAACCAAAATGAAAATCCAAAACAAAGTCACTCATAATAAATGTCTATTCGTAATGTCACCGTCAGGATCTTTAGAATTGACAATATCCTCCATCAGCGTCCCTTACAGTTGATATCGTCGCCTCATAGACCTGACGGTGCGGATAGATGCCTGTGGAATCTGACGCCATTCAGCCTGTAGTGTAGTGCAAAAACGCTAGTGAAGCCGAGAAATTGTAGACCGATGGACACCAAAACGGTTGGCGCTTTGATAATACAAAATTTGTAAGATAGACCAGTCTGAATCTGTCCTAAATCTACCTAGCGGTTAATACTTTGTAGAATCATTGCATACAATTTGCTTGCAAGTCTTCAGTAGTGTTTGAAATTAAGCACCTTATATAGAGGAAAAGTGTGTATTTTTATGAGCTTTTAAGATTTGTAAAACTGACCATTGGCATAGTTTAATATTCATTTTTATAAAAAATTTAATTGCTCATTTGTGTCTAACATTTCTAGAAAGGTGTGAAAAACAAGTTGATAATTAACAGTTTAAAAAATAAATCATTTCATTTCATAAAGTAACCATGAATTGATTAAATCTGTTTTCTGTTGTGAACTTCTCACAATTAGCCAAAAGTGTTACTTTTGATTTTTCGGGTACTGTCTTTATCATGCAATAACTTCATTAAAATGCAATCATTTTTCATAACTTTGGTATCTATATGACCGGAATGCATTCGGTTTTATGAAACTGTGAAAAAATACTTAAAAGAAATATATTTTCCTTGTTAAAATGCAATTATTCCGACCGTGCATTTTCATTGTCCTTAAGTATATTTGCATGATAACATGATTATTATTGTTTGTTAAAAACGAAACGAATAAGAAAATAAATAAATGTTACCAGGATGAACTACATCCACATTTTAAAGTCTGCTGGTTCTAATCATATAATTTCCAAATCAAAACAAATCAAAACCAAAGTAGGCGGCCTATGTTCAGAAAAATACTTACTAGCTCAGATGAGAGTGATCGAAATAACATTTTGAAAAAACAAAACAAAACAAAAACCGTTATGGTCTTCAAACATTCACCAAAATGTCAACAATGCTGTTACATTAGTAGGTGACCATATAATTGATTACTGAAAATAAAGCGTAAAAACAATGAAATTACGAGGTATCTCTGTGTCTAACCATTATACAATTTTAAAACGTGAAATTCAACACAAACATTAAAAACAAGTTACAAATGTTACACATGTTACAAACGTATAATCAACACTAATTAATAAATGAATAAACTAATTCATGCACGCCAAGATGATGGTACTCGTATCAGTAACGTCTCATTTTTTAACGTAGATAAAAATGCATTGATTAAAATCTTTTGTAAACTCTGTTAACATCCGTTAACAAAGCCAGAAGTGATATTTCATTTCCTTATTGTTTTATATGTCCTCTAAATTCTGTTTAAACATGAATGTATATGTAGTAAAACTTGCTCTATTTGGCATTTCAATAACGTTTGCTTTCCTTAGAATAATAAGCAACTGTTTTAACACAATTTGTTGAATTAAATACAAATAGGTGTTTTTTGGCACTATATCATCAAATACTTCTTGGTTATTTCAATATACATTATATTTATATATAATTATAATGCTCTTATTATGCAATACATAATGTGTGACCTTTTTCTTGGCAGTCTATTGCTCTTTAAAGGTAGATAGTTAAAACATAGTGTATCTTTAATAACATTACGCTCCGTAGCAGATAATACACCGTTACCTCAGACGTCG